CAGTTAAATCAGAGTTTATTAAATATATACAGTTAAATCAGAGTTTATTAAATATATAAAGTTAAATCAGAGTTTGGTCCATGGTTTCAGATACCTGTCTGGCTGCACCTGGTGGTCTCCAGTGACAGCAGCTGAACAAGCTGTTAGCTCAGGTGAGGTAGATGCTGAGCTCTGCTGCTCATCCCACAGGTGCATGTTCCTTACAAATGTTACCTTTTCTAACAACATTACATCAGGTAAGGTTTATCGTTTAAAAACAAGGAAACAGCAATTTACCAAACACTGACTGAATTCAGGTGAGACCTGACAGGTGAGACCCGACACAAACACTATGAATTACAGTAGTCACATGTATGTATGGCCCTTTCAAAATAAAAGTGAAGCTGAATGTGAAGTCTACATAAACACATTAGACCTGAGTCCAGCTGTCAGAACCAGACTGGACCCTCAGTCCTGTTCAGTGTGATGTCACCACTCTAAGTTTTAACCCCGCCCCTTATCCAGCCACAAATAAACATTATTTGGTTTAAGAGACAAATTTGTAAAAAGAAACAATATATTTTTGTTATTGTTTTACTGAGCTTAAAGATTCTGAAACTCTGATATTTTATATTTTAACTTTAAACATTGTTTTGTGTAAAAATGTCTATTTTTATTTAGGAACAACAATTTGTTTACAAAATGTTCCATTAATATTAATAATGTTATATTTGCAGAAACAAGTCACCCCCATGCTGACAGAAGACCACTTCCACATGTTGCTCAACAAATATGGTTACCATTTGGTGGAAAATTTCAAAGTAAAAGCACCAAAAATTATATATTGTTCACATTTCTGTCACCTTTGAGCAACATATGTTTTATTTCAGAATAAAGGCATATTTACATGTGTGTGTGTGTACACATACTTTTTATTAAAGTGTTTATGATCCCTGTGGGAGGGAAGGAAGGTTGAAAAAGTACCAAAGGACCATTATTTTGACAGTCCACATGAGATACTGCTCAACCTGAGGAACACCTGTAGTGATGTAGGGTCACTCTCAGGTGAGACCGCTCCCTGAAAACTCAATGTTGACAGCAGTGTTGTCACAGTGTTGTCACAGTGTTGACACTGTGTTGACACAGTGTTGTCACAGTGTTCACACAGTGTTGTCACAGTGTTGACACAGTGTTGTCACAGTGTTGTCACAGTGTTGACAGCAGTGTTGTCACAGTATTGTCACAGTGTTGACAGCAGTGTTGTCACAGTGTTGACAGCAGTGTTGTCACAGTGTTGTCACAGCGTTGACAGCAGTGTTGTCACAGTGTTGTCACAGTGTTGACAGCAGTGTTGTCACAGTGTTGTCACAGTGTTGACAGCAGTGTTGTCACAGTGTTGTCACAGTGTTGACAGCAGTGTTGACACAGTGTTGTCACAGTGTTGACAGCAGTGTTGTCACAGTGTTGTCACAGTGTTGACAGCAGTGTTGTCACAGTGTTGTCACAGTGTTGTCACAGTGTTGACACAGTGTTGTCACAGTGTTGTCACAGTGTTGTCACAGTGTTGACACAGTGTTGACACAGTGTTGTCACAGTGTTGTCACAGTGTTGTCACAGTGTTTTCAGCAGTGTTGTCACAGTGTTGTCACAGTGTTGTCACAGTGTTGACAGCAGTGTTGACACAGTGTTGTCACAGTGTTGTCACAGTGTTGTCACAGTGTTTTCAGCAGTGTTGTCACA